GCGGCATTGAGATCAGACTCTTTCTTGTAGTTGAAAGCCTCGTCAAAGCCTAACTTTCTCTTGAGCAAGTCAACCTAAGCCATGTGCATGTAATTGAGAAATGGCAAAATTAAATGGATTGACACTCGATTCTCATGTATTTATATATCTAAAAATTACAATTTTATAGTTATTTACATGACAATCATATGAAGGGCATAAATAGCATTAGTATTAAACATTAATATCATTGAAGGACTATAATATTACAATAGAATTTAAATATTAAGTTTAGGAGGATTTATATGCATACCACATAATTCCTATGAATTTACATGCATAACATTATAAATTAGATTGTTATATTGATAGGTGTGATTCACTTTTTAAAAATAAGCAATTGTGATATTTTTTATATGATATGAAAATTTCGAGTATCACAAATACTAAAAAACAAAGTTTCGATGTTAGATCAAGAAAGAAAACATAAGTTTGTGCGTGCGCAAGTGCTGGGTGCGTGTGTGATAAAAATTTAACTCACCTTTTCGTCAGAGCCAGCACTACCAACAACATAGCAACCCATCAGCTTAGCGAATTGGCCGACGAGTTGCCCGACGGCTCCTGAGGCGGCTGATACGAAAACACTTTCCCCTTTCTTTGGGGAGCATTTCTCATAAAATCCAACATAAGCTGTGAGCCCGGGCATTCCTACATGCCAAGAGAAAAACTAATTAATATATAGTTAATCTATTACGCAAAGTCAATTTAGTATAAAATTTATATAAATGTTAATTTAGTCTCTTGGACTTTTTTAATATCAGCTTGAATAGTTCTCATGAAAAAAATTTCAAGCCTTTATTAGCATAGTTTGAGGATTAATTAGGTTTTTTTTTCAAAATTAGAACTAAAATGACCACATATCAATAATCACGGAACTATTTTTTTCTTCAAAATGAATGGCCAGAGGTTATTATATGAGCCTCGAATCACCCCTATTGTGTCTAACAATTCGAGTACCACCTCATTAAGCCAAACTCTGTCAGAGAGGATTCGAACCCCCGACCTGAGGGGTCTTATACCGA